CAAGGGATCCTCCTGCCTCAGCCTCCCGAGTAGCTGGGACTATAGGTGCATGCCACCATACCTGGCTAATTTTTCTGTTTTTTTTTTTTTTTTTTTAGTAGAGATAGGGTCTCGCTTTTGCTCAGGCTGATCTTGAACTCCTGAGCTCAAGCAATCCTCCTGCCTTGGCCTCCCATAGTGCTAGGATTATAGGCATAAGCCACCATGGCTGGCCAGAATTTTTATTTTTCTTAAAAAAGAACATGTCCTTTTCAAATGCTGTCTGAGGAGATTTAATTACTGAGCTAGCTGTTGAGAAACCTTGCTGTTAACTAGCAGCCTCTTGACATGGTCATATTTCTAGTGCATTATCATTTCTCGGTGATAAATGTTACTTTTTATTCATTAACTTTTTGTTTGGAATATTGTCATTGTGAGGAATTCTGGCAAAACCAATTTAGTTCATATTTGATGTTAATGCTAGCCAGTTAAGAATCTTAAAGGTATACTTATGCTGACAACACATCCAATTGGTTAAAATATGAATGTTAATCATCTTCATGTCTGTTGATTGAATTTAGGATTTTAGTGCCCTCTTATCCTTTGAACTTGAAGGCAGTTTTATGGCCTGTGGGCCATAGTGTGCCAACTCTTGAATTATAGTGTTATTGCACTGATTACTTTGAGGGGGTATAAAAGATACTTAAATAATTAGTTGATAGTTTAAATGAAAAAATATGACCTAGTGATATTATTTTAGGAAGGTGAAACGACTAGACTCATCAGAGAAATAGACAAATTAAAGGAAGATATCAACTCTCACATCATTAAAGTAAAGTGGGCACAAAACAAATTAAAAGCTGAAATGGATTCGCACAAGGTGAGTACTATAATGCAGTGGAAGAATGATTAGAATCAGTTTTAAGAGTAAATGTACTAACAGTTGATAAGGCCTGAAGCTTAGTGACTTCTGCAGAGTAACTGGGACCTGAATGTTTGGTGATTATGAAAAAGAAATGCCCTTGCATGGTTTACATATAAAATTGGATGAAATGTTAAATTTTATTATTCATAGTTTGCAGCACCCAAATTTGCATTGTTCTTTTTTTTTTTTTTTTTTTGAGATGGAGTCTCACTGTGTTGCCCGGGCTAGAGTGCCGTGGTGTCATCCTAGCTCACAGCAACTTCAAACTCCTGAGCTCAAGCGATCCTTCTGCCTCAGCCTCCCGAGTAGCTGGGACTACAGGCATGCGCCACCATGCCCGGCTAATTTTTTCTATGTATTTTTAGTTGTCCAATTAATTTCTTTCTATTTTTAGTAGAGACGGGGTCTCGCTCTTGCTCAGGCTGGTTTCGAACTCCTGAGCTCAAACAATCCGCCCGCCTAGGCCTCCCAGAGAGCTAGGATTACAGGCGTGAGCCACTGCGCCCGGCCTGCCTTGTTCTTTTTAAGCATTTTTTGGTATGCAAAATTTAAAGTAAACATTGTGAGAAATTGGGGAGGAGAATATGTAGGTTATCAAAATTGAAAGTAAACTCTGGATATTTAAGTGAACTCTGATATTTAAAAAATATTTGTGATGCTAAGATTCTTCTCCTCAAGAAATACAAATTCTTATTTAAGTATAATGAAGATTTTAAGAATAAGTTTCCTTGTTTTATATAAACTTAATTCCATTAATATTGTGTCCAGTCTGTATCATTTTATTAAAAAATTAATATAATAGGTAATTATAAAGGCTGATACCTGATGTCATAATTGTAAGCACTAACTGAGCTGATGTTAGAGGTAGTAAAAATCTGAAGATGATAGAATGTGAAGTAAAAGTTCAACACTAAAATGTGATGTAAGCAGAAGAGCCAGGTTATAGAAATATCAATTTCCAAGTTTTTAAAAATGGGCTTAATGATATTGTATAAACCGTAATCATGGAATACGTTATTAAATCATTCTAAATCAGTAGAACTTTTAATCACCTTTGGATATTTGTAGATAGTGTTATCAGAGAAAACTGTAGGGAGAATAGTCCATATTGACAGTGGTCGAAGATAGCTTGGAGAATAGTGGGTTCCTTTCAGGTCAGAAGCTGACCGCTGACTGGCACGGGTGTGAGGAAACTACTAAGGCAGAGAAAGAACTGCCAGAACGGAGCAGGGCAACGATCCCTAGAGCTCAATGGGGCTGAGCCAGTTAGAATTTTCCCTTTTCTTTGAATTCCCAGAATGAGGGATTAAAATTCCAAATCCATAAAAGTAGTAGTGATTTTCAACTGCCTGAGCCGCTTCAAAATCTGAACGTAATAGTTGGTCTTATCTAATATCTGTGGCACTTTCCACATCCTTGTCTATAGTACTAAGAGACAGAATCGTGAAACCTGTTAGAATGCTAGCATTGAGGAGTAAAAACCTGTTACAGATCTGTGAGTTTAAAGAATGGGCAATTGGAGATTTTTTTTTTTTTTTTGAGATAAGAGTCTCTTTCTGGCACCACTGGGTAGTGCAATGACATCATCATAGCTCACAGCAACCTCAAACTCCTGGACTCAAGCGATCCTCTTGCGTCAGCCTCCTGAGTAGCTGGGACAACAGACTTGCGCCACGACACCCGGCTAATTTTTCTATTTTTGGTAGAGATGGGGTCTCGCTTTTGATCAGGTTCATCTCTAACTCCTGAGCTCAAGCAATCCTCCTGCCTTGGCCTCCCAGAGTGCTAGGATTACAGGTGTGAGCCACTGTGCCCAGCCAGATGAGAGATTCTTGTGGCAGCTTTTAGGTCAGACGAAACCAGATACTCCGTAAGTAGGTTAGAAAAGTGGTTTAAGGCTGACTTCTATAAGGTTACGTGGTGTGGATTGCTGGAAAATGAAAATAACAAGTGTATTTACCAGGTATGTGGAAATTAGACATGTACCAATTTCTTTTTAAGTAAAGGCATTTATTAACCAGCAAACATTTAGCTCTGTGCACAGTACTGTATTAAATATTATGGTTGATATAAAAGCCGTAGATGACACAGTCATTGCTTTCAAAGAGTGAGATGGGTTCCTGGTTACCTATTTTATGTATTTACCTAGTGGATATTAGCGGGAGCCTCTGGATGAAAGGGTACAAGATTTAATTATTGTCTGGGCAGTATAGGCTACCTCTAGAGATGCGGGCAAGGGACTTGACACTTTCTGTAAATCTTCTTCAGGTACTCTTTCAGATTTCTGGTCTCTGCCCATAAAAGTCTTAGGTACTAATACTGGAGTCCTATAGGTTACGGGATCCATCGTGATCATTAGCTTCTGGTCAGGCCTCCAGGGCATATTACAGAATTAAATCTATACTAGGTAGAGTGGACATCCAGATCATCAGGTCAGACAGTAGAAATGTATTTGTTCCCTTTTCTAAACTCCTTTGGGGGTTTGACTGAAATGTATTTTTAACACCTAACCTCTAAAAACAAAAGAATCTCTTGAGTGTAGTATATAAAGAAGAATCTCACCCCACAACCTCATCTACTGGTTTATCTGACTGGTTGCTACCTATTCACTACCTGGTATCAGGATAATATCATCTCACTGGAGCATATATATGGCTGGCAACGGATGTGGCAGTGGTTCTTTGGCAGCCACGTTTGGCCATGTGGGTGTATGCCAAATATTTCTGCTTCAGAGAAAGCTAGAGAGTGGAGTATTGGATATCAAGGTAGCATTTAGACCAACAGGATGCAGTAGACTGTAATATATTGCAATTGTGTGTGACTAGGGCTTGGAATTTTATGATATGTTCCCTCTGCTAGATTACCTGAAGCAAGACTCTGCTGCTTAATATGCTCTTCTCCCAAAGTTGTCATGTTGTCAATGATAGCCTCATTCTTAAATGGTTTGTTTACTCAGAAGGCCCACTAATTAGAAGCCAGGGCTCACTTCTAATTAGCTTTGCCATTTTTTTCTCACTTAGTAAAGCTTTATTCCATGTTCTATTCTATAACCGTATTCGATTGACTATACTCTATTGTATTGTAATAACAAGGTCCAGATTTACCCTCCCAAAATTTAAAAAAAAAAAAAAAAAGACAAAATATATGAAACGAAGGTTTTCAGACTGAGGCAACAGGCAGCGTTGGAAAATGATCCCTTAGTGAAGGGAAACAAACGAGGTATGCCTGGAGAGTTCCAGGCCACTGCACAAGGAGAGGAACCTCCTTGTGCAGAGCTCAGCAGTCTCCCTGAACTGAGGAGACAGAGTTCAACGTATGGGAAACAAGGACGAGTTCCAGAGAAGAGGAAGATACGGCAATCTGCAATGGGTTCCCTTCAAGTCTTCAGCTGACTACTGATCACCTGTCACCTCAGTGAGACTTCCCTGGCTACTCTACCTAAGCTTTCAACACCTCCCTGCAAACTTTCTCACGTCCTTGCTTTTTTTTTTTTTTCCTTAGCACTTGTCACTAATATATATTTTATTTATGTGTTGTTTGTGCTCTGTCTCCATCACTAGAATATCAGCTTCGTGAGGATAGAGATTTTGTCTGTTTTCTACACAGACAAAACTGTACACAACTACATCCCTAGAGCATAGAACAATGGTGTGAAGTAGGTGTTCAGTGAATACTGAATGAATGAATGAATGCAGTTAATACCTTAACCTAAACACATTGATTATAGTTCTCACTTTTCCTTTATTCAAACATTCATTTATTTAGTAAATATTTATTTGGCATGGAGGAATCTCTCAATTGCTATTTTCTGAGTGAATGAAGTAAGTACCTACTATGTGCCAGGTTCCGTTTTAGTTATTGATGATACAGTAGCGGGAAAAAAATAGATAAACTTCCCCTGCCTCCCTCCCTCCCTCCCTCTCTCTCTCTATATCTCTCTCCTCTCTTCGAGTCTAGTATTTTAAAAAGTCAGTATTTGAAAAAGTATGCAAATAATTGCTTATATTTTACAGTGATACTAAGTTTTAATACAAGTCAAATTATTATTAAAGACTAGCAACTGAAATTATATAACTAATTATATAACTTAATTGTATGGTAGATTTTTCCAAAAAGCAAAATGACATATAAGAAGCAGTGTTTGAAGCATCTATGCAACCTAGATGGTTCAAGAGATGACGAGAAAGGCATTCCAAGTGGAGGAATAGCAGGAACAAAGAACAAAGCAAGATGAATATTTGGTATTTGGGGAGACCAACCTAACTAGAGGCTTATGCTAAGTATTCCTTCATTCAACAAATATTAGTTGAACAATTAATATGTGACAAGTACTGAATTGCCATCTGGAAGCTGTGTACTGAATTGGGGGAACATATCATTTACAGTACAGTGTATTGGTGGTTAGAATCCGGGATGTCCCTATGCTGTATCTATGAAGAAGCAGAATAGCAGCATCTACCCCTTTCACAAGGGAAGCTACTGAGAGGAGATTATAGATATACCTAAACTCTCATTATAAATACGCATGATAGCCAAAACCATGGCACCGGATTGGTTCTCTGAAGGAGAATTAGGGAGAGAAAGCAAGTCAAGGGCTGTATCTTGGAAAATCACCACAGGAAGTAGGACCAATGGAGAAGAAAGAACGAGGAGAGGCATACTCTCTTGTAATGGAAACAGAGGAAGGATATTCAAAGAGCCAGGGGTGGTCAGAACTGGAACAAGTAAGTAAAGAATAAGAACAAGAAAAAGTAATTGGATTTGATGAGAGTAATCCCCAAAAACCTTCAGAATTGCCATTTTAGGAGAGTGGTTAGCAACAGAAACCATATTGAAGCATCAATCTGTAAAACAGCAGTTTTGAATATATACCACAAACACAAACCAAAGTATTGTCTTTTATGTGTGTGTGCAAAGAACTTTTTAACACTTTGCTCTTGTCTTAACAGGTTGGTAACTTCTAGTAATTTGCTGAAAATCTGTCAAATTTAACTTTATTTAATGGCTATCAGTTAACTCTGCAGATCATTTCAATTTGCTGTTAGAAAAAAAATACTGCTAGAATAGTATCTGGCCCCTCAGTGGCAGTGCTAGGAAAAGAACTTTCTCTGTTCCCTGGGTACTTTTTACCGTTCATCATTGTGGCCAACTTTGTTTCTGTTTTTTGTCAATGCAGGAAACCAAAGATAAACTGAAAGAAACAACAACAAAGTTAACACAAGCAAAGGAAGAAGCAGATCAGATACGGAAAAACTGTCAGGATATGATAAAAACATACCAGGTATGCTTAACTTTTAAAATAGATTTGTGTCAAATTATACTACAAGTCAGTTCTCTTATCTAATTAAATTTCTATGTTTGCAGTATTTGAAGTGTAGAATGGATTGGACAGGGCAGTTAAATAAAATGCAGATTATTTCTTATTTTAAAGTACCTACAGTTTAAATGGCTCTTAGTAGAGAAGTTTTCAACCTCATAAAAACCCTAGAAAATGTCAGAGGAGTGCAAAGAAATGTATAACTTAAAAAAACTACTCTGTATTATCTTACGTATTTTAAGTGTGTTATTCTTGTTCATGCAAAGTAAATGTATTTAAAATCTTTCACACCTAAGAGGTGCAGCGTGCACTGTCTGGGGGATGGACATGCTTGAAGCTCTGACTCGGGTTGGGCAAGGGCAATATCTATGCAACCTAAACATTTGTACTCCCGTAATATGCTGAAATAATAAAAAAAAAAAAATTAAATAAATAAATAAAATCTGTCAATGCAATTTTCAGTTTTAGATACATCAGCTATGTATTTCACAGTTAGTAAACTTAATTGCAAGGCCTTCTTCACTTGTCAAAGTATAAAACTTTAAAAATTGTCATTTTTTAAAATTTCCTTCCACTAGGAGTCAGAAGAAATTAAATCAAATGAGCTTGATGCAAAGCTTAGAGTTACAAAAGGAGAACTTGAAAAACAAATGCAAGAAAAATCTGACCAGCTAGAGGTGAGTAGTTTTGCTCTTTGTATATCCTAGATTGTGTAATAAATACAGAAGAGAGAAATAATGAGTACCTATTGCCATCTGCTTTTAAGGCCTTTTGGAAGGAACAGGCAATAAATTTTAGATCTTGTTTATTAGTACATTATGATTTGTGGTTTCTTTTAAACTTTTTAAAAGATGCATCATGCCAAAATAAAGGAACTAGAAGATCTGAAGAGGACATTTAAGGAGGGTATGGATGAGCTGCGAACACTCAGAACAAAGGTAATTAAATCTTTAGTCATGACTCCAGGGGAAGGGTAAATATCTTTAATTTTGAATTTATTCCGATTTTTAAAGTGGTGTGAAAAGGATATTTGTATAGAAATTTTCCAAAATTAAAGAACTCAGAGGAGTAGAATAGCAATTCCCTAGCAACATAATCTCTTTTGTTAAAATAAAAATGTTAGTCCCTTTGAAGTGTTTGCCAAACATTCCTATTTCACAGCACAATTTGCTGTATCTATAACTTATCCTTGGCTTCTGATTTAAAGACAGTCTTATCAGCAAATCAGTTAGAAAGATAGTTGGACCTTAGAACTGTGAGTGTCAGAAAATAATAGAAAGACTTTCTTTATATTTCTCCTCAGTATATTTAATAGTCTTAGATGAATACAGTTTTAATTTTCTAATTATCTATTAGATCCTTTCCAGTGTTTAGTCTTTATTGTAAGAATAGTATCTCTTCTAATATGTCACTATGTATCATTCATTTCTTTAGAAATAGGCTTTTAAGTAACCACTTTCAATTTGAGATCACTTAATTTTCAAGTGTTTTTCTTGTACCTTCCTATTTGTTCTTGGCCAGTTCTTTGAGGAAGGTGGGGAAGGTACATTCTTCTTTTTCAGGTGAGGAAGTAGAGATTCAGTAAAAATAAAATGACATGCTAAAACATCCATGACTAAATTGTTAAGAAATCTCAGACTAAAACCCAGTACTGTTAACTTCCCATTATATTTTCTTCATATTACCTAATGCTGCTTTGGAATTCAGCTTATATTATTAATATGTAGCCACTATGTAAAAGAGTATATAAGGAGCAAGAAAATATTGTCTGTAGTTTAACTTAGTTATGATCATTTGATAGGTGAAATGTCTAGAAGATGAACGATTAAGGACAGAAGATGAATTATCAAAATATAAGGAAATTATTAATCGCCAAAAAGCTGAAATTCAGAATTTATTGGACAAAGTGAAAATTACAGATCAGATACAGGAGCAGCTTCAAAGGTACAAGATGAGCAACTTCCGTTTATGTTAATAAATAGGCTTTTTAATTCTGTATCTATTTTTAAAAGCAATTATGGCATTAAACAATAACAATTTTTAAAATTTTACTAGCTACAAATTTTAAAATTTTTATTTGAACTTTTTTGGGTATATTTGAGTTCCCATCATGGCTTCTAAAAATCAAAGTTTATATTCCTTAAACATTGGCAGTAGCCATTTATAAGACAATGGATTTATTTAATTTCATTATTCATTCCTTAGCTTTCAAATTCTGTTAGTTATACACAGTACTTAAACTTTTTCTTCTAAAAGGTAAATCTAGATCTATATCTTTGCATACGTATAGCTTGAGGTGAGGAGCTGGCATTATTCCTTGGTGTCTTATGAAACCAGTTAACTAAACTTCACTCATGACATTACCTGGCAGAGCCTAGATTCAGGTTGAATTCAAATACCTTCTTTTCCACACTTTACCAATACGTAAGCTGCTCAGTGTTGCTAAAGAAATCCTTACCATCATCTAGATTGATGCTATAAATTCATGATTGCTAACCCAAATGGGAATATTAATACACCTCTAATCCTACCATGTCCTTGGTCAGAGTTTTTTCCCCCCGTACTTTTAGTATCTGTTTCACACCTTATTACTTTTTACTTATTGATTTCTTCACACTTTGATCTTTCCCCTTACCTGTCCATGTGCTTTGGCAGGTGATTACTTCTTCACAGAAAAAATGGGAGCTATCAGGGTGACAGTTCTCTCAACTTCTTGCTATCAATCCTATGTACTGCCTGCATCTGCAACCATATTTTCCTTTGTTTCCATCATCATGGAAGAACTGTCCTTGCTTCTCTCTGAACCGAATTATTCTTTCTACTTCTGCTGTGTATCCCATGCTCTTCTGCCTTCTCAGGGTCTTTTTTCATTATTCCTTCTTTATCCTTTATCTCTCTCTATTGACTTCCTTTTTCTACATTTATTTTTTTTTATTTTTTATTTATTTTTTATTTTTTATTTTTTTTTGAGACAGAGTCTCACTGTGTTGCCCGGGCTAGAGTGCCGTGGCGTGGTCTTAGCTCACAGCAACCTCAAACTCCTGGGCTCAAACGATCCTCCTGCCTCAGCCTCCTGAGTAGCTGGGACTACAGGCATGCGCCACCATGCCCAGCTAGTTTTTTTTTCTATATATTTTTAGTTGTCCAATTAATTTCTTTCTATTTTTAGTAGAGACGGGGTCTCTCTCTTGCTCAGGCTGGTTTCGAACTCCTGAGCTCAAACAATCCGCCCGCCTCGGCCTCCCAGAGAGCTAGGATTACAGGCATGAGCCACCGCACCTGGCCTCTTTCTACATTTAAATATGATTGTGTCTTTAAAAAAGCTAGGATTCTTGTGACCTTCCTCTACCAGCTTTTCTTTACAACCAAACTTCTTTATAGAATCATCTATACTCATTCTCCCTTTCTTCACTTCCTATGTTGTATTCCTCTGCATTCTAGCCTCTACCCCAACGTTTCATTAACAACTACTAATGCCTCCTAGTATATGGTGGACATATCTCAGACGCGGTCTTGCTTAAATTTTTAATATCTTTTAATGCCACTGAACTCGGTTATCTCTCTTGATATGCTCTGTTCCTTTGGCTTCATTTCCATCATGCTCTCCTAGTGTTCCTCCCACCTTTCTGGCTACTCTTTTTCAATCTCCTTGGCGGGCTTCTCTATCTGTCATAAGGCCCTCTATCCTAATTTTATTGTACCTTTGGGTGATCCCAACTATTTTTATAGTATGCTGTAGAACTTTCAAATCATTATCTTTAGCACTTTCTGCTGAACTCCAAGCACATAAGTATCAAAGACACCTCAAACTTTAACATATCCAGAATTGATTTTTCTATCTTGCCCACAAAGATGCTTCCCCTCTCATGTTCCTGGGATGAGTGAAAAGTGTAGCATCCACATGACTGTACAACCCAGGATTCTAGGGGCCACCTTTGTTCTTCCCTCCTTCTCCTAACACATGTAACTAGTCACAAAATATTAGCAATGCTAACTCTTTAATATCTGTCAAATCCATTTACTTTTTATACCCTCACTGCTACTGCCATGGTCCACGCCAAGCTCTTGATCCAAATCCAGCCCACTGCCTCTTTTTGTAAATGAAGTTTTTTGGGAATATATCCACACTCATTCATTTATGTAATATCTATGGCAGTTTTCACACACTATGATGGCAGAGTGTAGCAGTTGCAACAAAAACCCTATGACCCAGAAGCCTAACTTAATTTACTGTCTGGTCTTTTGCAGGAAGAAGTTGCTGACTTCTGCTTTAAGTACTAGTTTGAACATCATTTACGCTAGTTTAGGCAACCTGTTCTGTACTTTTATCATCAAAAATGTTTTTTTCACACATATAATTTCTCTACTTGACTAAAAGCTCTTTGAAAACTGGGGCCATGATGGTCTTGCTCGTATATATTCCCAGCTCTTAGTTTCTGGCATTCATAGTTAGGCATTCATAAATATTTGCATGAATGAATAAAAGTACCCTTGTGAAGCATTTGATTAGATGAAAATTCCCCAACTATTAATTTAATGTCTTTTAATAGTTTAATTTTTTCTTAAATATAAACTTTGTTTTTTAGAGGTAAACAAGAAATTGAAAATTTGAAGGAAGAAGTGGAAAGTCTTAATTCTTTGATTAATGACCTACAAAAAGACATCGAAGGCAGTAGGAAAAGAGAATCTGAGCTACTGCTATTTACAGAAAAGCTCACTAGTAAGAATGCACAGCTTCAATCTGAATCCAATTCTTTGCAATCACAATTTGATAAACTTTCATGTAGTGAAAGTCAGTTACAAAGCCAATGTGAACAAATGAAACAGACAAATATTAATTTGGTAAGTATAAATGTACAGTTAACTGTTAAAGCAACATAGCAAGAGGCACAAATTGATTTACCTAATAGTATAAAAGTAGTGCTAGTTGATTTTAAGCTCTTTTCTATGGGCACTGATGTTCTGGTAATTTCAAATGCTATAAAAAATGTCAGTTTTTCCTTTGAACTGTGGTAATTCATAATATAATTTCTTCCTAAAATAATTATGAAGAATATTTCACTTTTGAAAATAAAACCATGGCTGGGCATGGTGTCTCATGCCTGTAATCCTGGCACTCTGGGAGACCGAGGCGGGCAGATCGTTTGAACTCAGGAGTTCGAGACCAGCCTGAGCAAGAGCAAGACCCCGTCTCTACTAAAAAAATAGAAAGAAATTAGCTGGACAACTAAAAATATAGAGAAAAAATTAGCCGGGCATGGGCGCATGCCCGTAGTCCCAGCTACTCGGGAGGCTGAGGCAGAAGGATTGCTTGAGCCCAGGAGTTAGAGGTTGCTGTGAGCTAGGCTGATGCCATGGCACTCTAGCCGGGGCAACAGAGTGAGACTCTTTCTCAAAAAAAAAGAAAAGAAAAACCATGATTTCTGTCATCCCTAACTGGGATCATTATATATATATTTTAGAAGATACTTTAAATTTCTGTTTTTTTGTAGTTTAAAAGTGATTTAATATTTCCAAATTATAAGAGTTTCTTCAAGTTACTCATAGAAATAATTTGAGACTTTAGTCCAAAAACTCAGAGACCCATCTCGCATGTTGTTTTGCGTGTGTAGAACTTGATATATGAAGATTTTGAGAAGGTCAATAAACAAAACCTGTTGAGAAATAATGGTAGAAGAATCTCTACCATGAAGGACCTTATATTTTTAAGGTTTTAAACTGTGAGCTTTAAGGGAAACAAACATATTAAAATTGGTGGGTTTTGTTTTATTTAATATTCAGGAAAGTAGATTGTTGAAAGAGGAAGAACTGCGAAAAGAGGAAGTCCAAAATCTGCAAGCTGAACTTACTTCTAGTCAAACAGAAGTTAAAGCATTGAGTACCCAGGTAGAAGAATTAAAAGATGAGTTAGTAACTCAAAGACGTAAACATGCCTCTAGTATCAAGGATCTTACCAAACAACTTCAGCAAGGTATAACATTCTTCCACACTTAGACCTTGAATGTGTTTGTTTCTTTTAATCATTAAGAATTTTGTGGAAAAATTATATTTTACATCAGGTTCTACCACATAGATTGGAACCGTATGTTCTTTTTAATATATTTATGTTCATAAACCAAATTACTAAACTTCTTGCAATTCTATTAATAGTCTAACTTCTATGCTAAAGGACGTTTATTCACAGAATCACAAAATGTGAGAACTGGGAAAGTATCTTAGGGTAGTAGTATCTAAACATTTTTCATCACATACTCCTATTAGTAAAAAACTATTGAGTGTTCATTCTCCAAATAATATGTGTTTATTTATAAATTGTAAACATATATTACTCTTTTATGTATATGAGAAAATATGAAAAATAGAATTTTTAAAAGATCTATCTTTAAGTATAAATAGCAGTTCTAATATCTTCTTTCTTCACATGCCTGTGAATTGTTTTGTGCAGCCTCTAGAGAACCTGTGCTCTAGATGCAGAGCTCTAAGTCAGACGTTGTTGAGATCTAACCCTTCATGTGGGTCTCAGGAAACAGACCCTGAGAGGTTATAAATTACCCAAACACAATTGACAACTAAAACTGGAACCCACATTTCTTTCATTTAAAAATTCATACAATTATTGGGTGTCTGTGCTATGTGCTCGGCATACAAAGATGAATAAGATATGTATTCTGACTTCCTATTCTCTATTCTTCCCACTGCTCTGTGTTAAAGTAGGGTGAGATATAGTAATAAGATAAAAGAGATTTAGTATTTACTTTGTATGAATATATTTATATATTTGCCATAGAATTTACTTCACATGAATATATTCAGATATTTGCCATAGAATTTAGTTTGTTTTTATAGATGTAATTAAAGGAAAATTTGCGGGAAATTTCTAGTATCGTAAGTACTCTAAAAGTTAAGTTCAGTGTATTAATAATTATGTGATAACAGAATCAGTTACATAGTTTTGTTTCTATATATTTTGTATTTGACCTCTATATTTCCAGATGTGATTTTATATGAATGTAACAGCTGTGGTCCCCAACCCCTGGGCTGTGGACCGGTATCCGTCTGTGGCCTGTTAGGAACCAGGCCACAGAGCCTCCTCCTAGCCCCTCCCCATCCCCAACCATCACCATGGAAAAAGTTATCTTCCATGAAACCAGTACCTGGTGCCAAAAAGGTTGGGGACTGCTGAATTATGCTTTAAATTTAGACTGGAGACTAGCAGCAAAGAAGCAATCAAGGGTGAGCTGCGGGCGAGCAAGCAAAGCTTCACGTGTATTTACAGCCACTCCCCAACACTTGCATCACTGCCTGAGCTCCTGCTTCTCCTCCCTTTCCCCCCACCACCCGTGGAAAAATTGTCTTGCATGAAACTGGTCCCTGGTACCAAAAAGGTTGGGGATTGCTGACCTACAGTCCTCTAAAGTATGTATTTAGTAACTTTCTCTTGTCTATGCCATTTTTGACGAGATGATTTTAGCAAGTGATCATGATAATTTTCACAAGTGATCCATTTCTTTTTCTTATAGCACGGAGAAAATTAGATCAAGTTGAGAACGGAAGCTATGATAAAGAAGTCAGCAGCATGGGAAGTCGTTCTAGTTCATCAGGTAAAAAACTAATAGCTTTAGTTGTTATTTAGTGATTGATTATAGAAATACATAGCGTTTTTTATTTTAAAAAGTGTTGACATGCTTTGTTTCATTTTGAAGTATAAAAAGTGGTGGTTATTTGAAGTATAAAAAGTAGTGATTATATGTAATTATATTGTAAAAAATGTTTCTGATTAAATGTTTAAGCTCTATTTGTCACCCAGGATTGCAGCTTTGTTGTAAGGTTCTGTATGATCTGTCTCCCTTCCTTCTTTTTTCTTACCTGCTGCTGCTTTATTCTTTGCCACAACTTCCATTTTCTTAAATTCAAATTTGTATCCATCCGTATAGAGAGATTTGGTGTAGTATGGTGTCTTTTACTTTGATATTACTTTTAACACCTGAGAACTAATAAAATGGTCATCATTATATATCATATTTAAATATCAGTGTACTTATCATTTTTCAAAATGCTAGGAACCATGCTAAATACATCATTTACTCTGCAGAACAGCCATGTGAGGTAAGTATTATAATTCAATTCCCATTTACAAATGAGGACTCCAAGATTTAGAGAGGTTACGTGATTTGCCCAAAATCTGTAGTGACAGAACTCTCCTATTTCAGAGTCCTTGCTTGCCACTACACTATACTGCCCCCGACGAGTTGCATGTTAGGGGGAAAGAAACATCATCAACTGTTAAAATAGTGGGAAAAAATGTGTAGTAGAAAGAATATGGATTTGAAATTACACTATGTATTTATATCCCAGCCCAGCCATTTATTAGTTGTATAACATTAGGTAAGATATATTACTTGTCTTTAATCTATAAAATGGGATTGGGAAAAAACATATTTTTGTAGGGTAAAGAAGAAATTCTTCTCACTGATGTGGGAAAAAATAATGTCTAAACTTAACATAGTGCTTACAATGTGCAGTGTTCTGAGTGCTTCACATATATTAACTCCTTTAAATGAGGATAACAATCCTATGAGGTAAATAATATTACTATTTCCATTTTAAGATGAAGTAAAGGCACAGAGCCTTAAATAACTTGTCCAAAGTCACATAGCTAGTCAGTGGAGAAGCGGGATTTGAATGTAGGTAGGCTGGCTCCAGAGCTTAACCCACCATGTTCTATCCTCTCGTTCTCTCTCATATACTTCCCTTCTTCCCCTCCTCCCTCTCTCTGCTCTTTTCTATTCTTTTATAGTTTAATTTTAGTATCACTTTAGGCGTTTTATTCTGACTTTTTCTTAAGAGATATAATAGACCCTTTTGGTACTTCTGTCATCAGTCTATTCACAAATAAGAACTCAGATCACATGTGACCTGTGTTGTGTTTTGTGTCCAACACTGTTAGAGTGAATATGTGAAAACAATGCTGTAATAAATAATAGATGAGAGAGGACTCTAGACTAAACACAATATCTGAACTCAATTTTTTTTTATTCAGGGTCCCTTAATGCTCGAAGCAGTGCCGAAGATCGATCTCCAGAAAATACCGGGTCATCAGTAGCTGTGGATAACTTTCCAGAAGTAGACAAGGCCATGTTGATTGAGAGGATAGTGAGGCTACAGAAAGCACATGCCCGGAAAAATGAAAAGATCGAATTTATGGAAGACCACATCAAACAACTGGTGGAAGAAATTAGGAAAAAAACAAAGTATGTATTATTAGCATAATCTGTATTCAAAATATCATTAATCATATGGTAAAGTTTCTATTTTCAAAATTAATCATATCAAAAGCCTATTTTTCAAAAAATAATTCTTAATTATAACTGTTTGGTTCCCAGTCTTTTGTGATCACTGTTATGTTCTAGGTTTTCGGAATACAGAGATGAAAGAAAATTCTACCACCTTAGAGGTCTTTCTTTTAAGGCAATGTAGAGTTCAGTAGATGTTAATTTTTTTAAGATACTAAAATGCCTTTGGATTTAAGAAAGATGTGCCCTACTTTTTATTTTCACGACTGTGGCTCTAAGAGATACATGTGGGGTTGTGGATTGCTTTTCCTGTTGGGTAGGCCATAGTAGGGTAATTTATTGTGCACCTACTAGTACAAGACATGATGCCTGTGGCTTAGCAGTATCTCATTGATTCCTTACAACTGCTCAGAGAGTGAGTTCTCTGATTATACAGATAAGTTAACTAGGGCTCAGGTCAAATCACTAAATGTTCCAGGATTACCACTCATCCCGTAAGTCTGCGGTCCCCAAGCCCCAGAGGCTGGTCCATGGCCTGTTAGGGACCAGGCCAGGCCACAGAGGTACCCCCCTCGCCACCCTCCCTGCTATCTGTGGAAAAATTCTCTTCCATGAAACCAGTCCCTGATGCCAAAAAGGTTGGGGACCACTGCCATAAGTGACAGACCTACAGCTGGAGATCCAAACACTGCTCTGACTACATCTAGAGCTGTGCTGTGCCAATTTCCTCTCACAAATACTATGAAGTTGTTATTTTTATATTGCAGGTCTTTTCCATGACTTTTTCCCCCTCTGTACATACCTTTTATTATTTACGTAATACAATATGGCATCGATGCTGAATGACATGATTATGTGCAGTACATAAATATGAACTATCTGTACATATCTGCAGGTCTAACTGAGAACTAAAGTACATACAATTAAAAGTAAAACTGAATGCTTCAAGAATAAAAGTAAAAACTAGGACTGAACACTGTAATAAATCAGAAGTGGAGCCTCGTATACATAATTAACTATTAACAGGTAAAAAGAGGCATTACCACCAACACTAACTATACTCATTTATGTAGAAAAACATATCACGAAAACCCTTCCATTATAACACAAGTGATATTACCAGACAAGCATCAGTGAAATATGCTGCCTTTTCTAATTGTTATTGTACAGTGCTATATGTAATGCAGCCCACGCAATACACCTAAGAACACTGCAGTACTACACCTAAGTACAATTAATATGATAAAGCAGACTTTGATTTTGAAATAATTTTAAACTTTTCATAAAAATTTGCCTGTGGCTTTTATTTTTTTATTTTTTTCTTTTTGAGACAGAGTCTCACTGTGTTGCCTGGGCTAGAGTGCTGTGGTGTC